ATGAACGGTTAAAAACTTTATTTTCTGTTTTATACCGTTTAATGAACAGTTAAAAACTTTATTTTCTGTTTTATTCAACAGTTAAAACTCTGTTTTCTGTTTAAAACCATTTACCGTATTTTCCGGTGTACAAGTCGCATCAGTCAAAAAAAGCATCATGACGAGAAAAAAACATAAGTTGTATTCGCCTGGGTGGTGTGGTCCCATTCATCCATCCGACCAACCATCCATCCGTCCATCCATCCATCGCAGCTCTGCAGCGTGCCTCCGCCTGCACCAGCTGAGTGAAGCGAGTAACACGGGACAATTCGTTGTTGCAGTTTGTCAAAATTTAAAGCGTCAGTCAAAAATTGTTTTGAATATGGAAACTAAAGTATATAAGTCGCAGGACTGACAAATCTATGCAAAAAACTGCGACTTATATGCTGGAAAATACGGTAATCAATGGTTAACGGTTAAAACTTTCTTGTTTTCAACCGTTTTAATCTACGGTTAAAAACCGTTTTCTCTCCCATCGATGCTTTGAATGCTGCTCCGGGACCTGCAGGTGAATTTTTATCTTTTTTAACTTCCACCCTCCTCAGCCTTCCAGGAGAATGAAGACTGGGCGATAAAATCAAAACCAGCTGCAGGGTCGAGGTACAAAGCTCGTTAGCTGAACCAGATCAGCGACGGACAATAAATCAATTTTATCTTGAAACATTTTACAGGAAATGACGGAACTTTATGATTTTACGTTGACGTCGTCTTCGTTGGTCTGTCACGTCTCTATTGATAATAAACGTTTCATAAAAGCGCCCTTTTCTTCTAATTGTGGGGGGAACAAAGCGTCTTATGTTTATTTTGCAGTTGAAGTTGAATTCAGGCTGAAATCATCGATTCAGTCCAAGTGAAAAATCAACTGTGGAACTGATCCGCTGCTTTAATTTCATTCTTTGTTTTAACCCTTCGTGAAGTAAAAACCTTCTGAGAAGTTTCTTCTTGTTGCCTGAAACCAACATCTCATGCCCCCCCCCCCCCCCCCACAACAGTTCTTAAATAAGACAAATAATTACAATGAAAAAGAACGGAGGCACGTTCAAAGACTACATGTGGAACAGTTTGAGAGCCGCTTCCTGTCTGTAGATCAGTTCCTGACAGAACCCCCCCCCCAGGGATGAGTCTTAACAACACAACATGATCGCCCTCCTGCCCCAACACCCCCCGAGGTCTGGGCTCAATTATCAGCTCTGGCAGCGCTTCGATGAATTTATGACTGAGCAGCGTCGTCGCCTGCCAGCACGCCTGCTAACAATCGGAGGGCGGCCACGTTTGCTGCACATTTCTGTTAGCACAATATCATGAACCTTTCTGGGTCGGATCACAACCAAACGTCCAGCACAAAACACAGCCCGGTCTGAATGTGGTGTGGTAGTAGCTGAGAGTGATTGCAAAAGCACACTCTGAGGGCAAACGCATGGTGTGCCATCTGGTGACACGTTGAGACAATTGTTCAAGATGAACGCTGGGGGGTCTGAACAGTGAGTGTTTGTCTGGACGTGACGCAAACCTAAATGTTTTTGGTGCAAGTTGTAGAACAGAGGAAGGTTTTTATTCCAGAGTCATGGATCCTGTTGAGTGGAGGGAGACATCTTAACTCCACCAGGTGCACTGGAGGAGTCAGAGGGGGGCCAAAGGTGGCTTTGGCCCTCATAGATTAATTTTTGGCCACCCTAACCATTTGATGAAACTATACCTTTAAGAGATATAAAAACTAGAAAACGTAATTTTGTCAAATGATCTGGGTGGCCAGTATATATATAAATATATATATATATATATATATATATATATATATATATATATATATTTATATACACAGTAGTCCCTCGCTTCTTCATGCTTCGTTTATCGCGGACTCGCTCTATTGTGGTTTTTCAAAATAAGACTGGACATGATACACAGTTGGCTGACTCATACTTGAGCCGCACGATCGGCATGAAATTTTTATTTAAAACAAATTATTTTAAATTATTTAGCACCTGCTGCACCTTTGTGCCGCCCACACTGCAGGGTAAACTTCCTGCTGCAGCTGATCAGCTGATCTCTGTGCAGAGCAGAGAAGTGGGCGTGGCCGAGAGCACTTGCAGTTGAAGGGCGCTGAAATCATGACATGCTGTGTCTTTCAGAGCGTCCCCTCCTCCCTCCATGACGGGGGTCAAAGTATCTAACGTCGTTATTTCTCAGCTTCAGCTGACCTGAGATTAAAACTCAGGTGGCGGGCGATGTGCATTCCTTCAAGACATGGTAGATTTTATTCAACGTGGACTTTTTATTAATCGCACAAGAGGATCTGCAGATTTTTGTCCCAAACTTTGCCGAAACGCTTAATGTGGAGGGGGGTGTCAATAAAATGTTTGTTAGAGCAGAAAAGGTAAACGTTCACGAGTTGTGTCCGTTTGTTTCATGTGCAGCTCAGAGTGAGATGAAACCGTCGGTTCGGATGTTTTAACTGTGTCAGCGAGGTCCATAACGGTCCAGCGCCTTCCTGCTCACACAGCTGGCTATTAGAGCCATATGGCCGCCTGACAGGGGGCCATTAGAGGTGTGTTAATGCGTGTGAGCTGTGGGGACGGGGGGGGGACGCAGGTGCTCCATGGGCTGATATTACCCAGGATGCTCCAAGTGAAGGCGTGAGGGTTTTATACGAGGATAGGAGGCTCTCGGTGGAGCTCCCAGTCACACCTGTGATCCACACACACACACACCTTTCCTGCAGCGCGTTAATACACACTCTGATAAACAGACTAATATTCGCACTTCACACACCACTGAACGCACCACGGCTGACAGGAAACCTCCCGTCTGAACTTAGACGCAGCATTCGTGTAGAACGAGCTGTACGCCAACGACCCCCGTCTCGGGGGGGTGTTGAAGAGTGAAGGTAGTTGTGGAGATGAGTGTTTTTCTGGACTGGATTTACAGAGAATGAAGTAAACCTAAATGTTTTTGGTGCAAGATGTTCAAGTGTGGTGGTGGGGGTGGAGGGTTATACTGTAGAAGGACAGCGGGAGGTTTTTATTTTTACTTTGATTGTCTGAGGCGACGTGAAATGACATTTTAACATTAGTTGCAGTGGTGGAGACACGGGGTGGCCAATGGTGGCCGTGGCCCCCATTACCACCTCAATGATTTGAGAAAACTATACTTTTAAGTAAAATAAAAATTAGAAAGCATAGTTTCCTCAAATGATTGGGGTATTCACACACACACACACACATATACATGCACATATATATGGTGGCGGCCATCTTGGAGTTTGACCTGGCAACCCAATTTTCCAAAGAAGCCTTTTATATGTGTAGATGCAGCCACACACCAGAATGGACTTTGGTACCTCATGGTTTACAAGTCGCTCAGACGGATGGACGGTGTTCCTAATTCCACTTCTTCGTTCTGCGACGGGGGACAAAAACAAAAGAAAAACAAACTTTTTTCAAAATTATATTGTTGCCAGGTGAGCGACACATTTAGGTGCATGTGGCTGATCTGCACACTCTGCTGCTGGAAGGATTCCTGCTGGAACATCTGGCACATTTTAGCATCTGCCATGAAGAACTGTTGATACGTGGGAACAGCTGATCGAGCTATCAGCCCCAGACGCTCTTGGATTAAAAGCCTAAATCGTAACGAGTTGCAGCGCTGCCAACGTTGAGGAGAGACTGTGGGAAAAGGAACTCGTTCACCTGAGCTTGGAGCTCAGAGGTCACGGAAACACAACCGGGGAGGCAACAACGTCATTCGGTCCGAGAACAAAGCAAGTCCACCCTCTTTAAATGCCAGAGTTGTACTTGTTGGGAGATGAGAACAAGGATCTTTGTCAGGATCAAAATGGTTCAAATCGAACCTCAAGTGCACACAATCAACTGATTCCACAGTAACTGTTGTCAAAATGAACGAGTGCCGCTTACGGCACATTATACACCCGTCCACAAACTATTATACAGAAATACAGCAATCTATAGCAATGCCCCGCACGAGCAAAGACCTTGTCCTAATGTTGACCTTGGTTTGTGACCTTAAAGCTACCGTACTGAAAACATTACGCAATACTCCGTCTAGTGGTGGTACGAATTCTCTTTGTACCGCAACTTGTCTTTGGACGGGCGTATGATCCAACCATACGGAGTCTGGTAGAAGCACCTTTAGCTGCAGTAACCGGCTCTCACGTGGTTGTGGAGGAGTTCTGACCCACTCTCTCTATAAAGTTTCTGCTCAGCTCTCTGAAAGTCCCAGCACTGAAGTCAGAGCCTCGACTGAATCCTTACAACGCCTTTACGCGCACCTTCCATTTTGAACACGTGATCATGAGAATTGACTGGCAGAGAACTGGTCACATGATGTAGAATAGGGACTTCCCACACTACTTCCGGGAGGTGTGGCCAGTTCTGAAGAAAGGCGTGTGATTATCGACGCCATCACTGTGACCGCATGGCGGTGACAGAAGGACCTGAAGTCATTTTTGTACCTTCAAGTAAACTTTCTGAGATGGAAATCATTCGCCACTCCGAGTCTGCTTCAGACCAGTAGAACACAGGAAAAATACATCTTACGATTCTGTTGGACCCAGTTTAGTCCAAGCTTCACGCTCTTGGACAGATGGGCTCAGAA